ACCTGAGTGCAAAAATGGAGGCTCTAGCCCCTTCCAGAGCTGAGATATCGAAACTCAAAAATTCGGCCCGAAAAAAAAAACGACAGTGGTACCCCTTACGGTTTTTTTTTTGGCGAAAAATTAAGTTTCTCCAATCTTCCCAAAACTCTGGATTCTGATTAGAGGCCATGAGACTTAGACCTGAGTGCAAAAATTGGAAAAAAAAAACGACAGTGGTACCCCTTACGTTTTTTTTTTTGGCGAAAAATTAAGTTTCTCCAATCTTTCCAAAACTCTGGATTCTGATAGAGGGCCATGAGACTTAGACCTGAGTGCAAAAATGGAGGCTCTAGCCCCTTCCAGAGCTGAGATATCGAAACTCAAAAATTCGGCCCGAAAAAAAAACGACAGTGGTACCCCTTACGTTTTTTTTTGGGCGAAAAATTAAGTTTCTCCAATCTTCCCAAAACTCTGGATTCTGATAGAGGGCCATGAGACTTAGACCTGAGTGCAAAAATGGAGGCTCTAGCCCCTTCCAGAGCTGAGATATCGAAACTCAAAAATTCGGCCCGAAAAAAAAAAAACGACAGTGGTACCCCTTACGTTTTTTTTTTTTTTTTGGGCGAAAAATTAAGTTTCTCCAATCTTCCCAAAACTCTGGATTCTGATAGAGGGCCATGAGACTTAGACCTGAGTGCAAAAATGGAGGCTCTAGCCCCTTCCAGAGCTGAGATATCGAAACTCAAAAATTCGGCCCGAAAAAAAAACGACAGTGGTACCCCTTACGTTTTTTTTTTTTGGGCGAAAAATTAAGTTTCTCCAATCTTCCCAAAACTCTGGATTCTGATAGAGGGCCATGAGACTTAGACCTGAGTGCAAAAATGGAGGCTCTAGCCCCTTCCAGAGCTGAGATATCGAAACTCAAAAATTCGGCCCGAAAAAAAAACGACAGTGGTACCCCTTACGTTTTTTTTTTTGGGCGAAAAATTAAGTTTCTCCAATCTTCCCAAAACTCTGGATTCTGATAGAGGGCCATGAGACTTAGACCTGAGTGCAAAAATGGAGGCTCTAGCCCCTTCCAGAGCTGAGATATCGAAACTCAAAAATTCGGCCCGAAAAAAAAACGACAGTGGTACCCCTTACGTTTTTTTTTTTGGGGGCGAAAAATTAAGTTTCTCCAATCTGATAGAGGGCCATGAGACTTAGACCTGAGTGCAAAAATGGAGGCTCTAGCCCCTTCCAGAGCTGAGATATCGAAACTCAAAAATTCGGCCCGAAAAAAAAAAAAGACAGTGGTACCCCTTACGTTTTTTTTTTTGGGCGAAAAATTAAGTTTCTCCAATCTTCCCAAAACTCTGGATTCTGATAGAGGGCCATGAGACTTAGACCTGAGTGCAAAAATGGAGGCTCTAGCCCCTTCCAGAGCTGAGATATCGAAACTCAAAAATTCGGCCCGAAAAAAAAAACGACAGTGGTACCCCTTACGTTTTTTTTTTTTTGGGCGAAAAATTAAGTTTCTCCAATCTTCCCAAAACTCTGGATTCTGATAGAGGGCCATGAGACTTAGACCTGAGTGCAAAAATGGAGGCTCTAGCCCCTTCCAGAGCTGAGATATCGAAACTCAAAAATTCGGCCCGAAAAAAAAACGACAGTGGTACCCCTTACGTTTTTTTTTTTGGCGAAAAATTAAGTTTCTCCAATCTTCCCAAAACTCTGGATTCTGATAGAGGGCCATGAGACTTAGACCTGAGTGCAAAAATGGAGGCTCTAGCCCCTTCCAGAGCTGAGATATCGAAACTCAAAAATTTGGCCCGAAAAAAAAAAACGACAGTGGTACCCCTTACGTTTTTTTTTTTTTGGGCGAAAAATTAAGTTTCTCCAATCTTCCCAAAACTCTGGATTCTGATAGAGGGCCATGAGACTTAGACCTGAGTGCAAAAATGGAGGCTCTAGCCCCTTCCAGAGCTGAGATATCGAAACTCAAAAATTCGGCCAAAAACGTACCCCTTACGTTTGTTTTTTTTTGGGCGAAAAATTAAGTTTCTCCAATCTTCCCAAAACTCTGGATTCTGATAGAGGGCCATGAGACTTAGACCTGAGTGCAAAAATGGAGGCTCTAGCCCCTTCCAGAGCTGAGATATCGAAACTCAAAAATTCGGCCCGAAAAAAAAACGACAGTGGTACCCCTTACGTTTTTTTTTTTTTGGGGCGAAAAATTAAGTTTCTCCAATCTGATAGAGGGCCATGAGACTTAGACCTGAGTGCAAAAATGGAGGCTCTAGCCCCTTCCAGAGCTGAGATATCGAAACTCAAAAATTCGGCCCGAAAAAAAAAAAAGACAGTGGTACCCCTTACGTTTTTTTTTTTTTGGGCGAAAAATTAAGTTTCTCCAATCTTCCCAAAACTCTGGATTCTGATAGAGGGCCATGAGACTTAGACCTGAGTGCAAAAATGGAGGCTCTAGCCCCTTCCAGAGCTGAGATATCGAAACTCAAAAATTCGGCCCGAAAAAAAAAACGACAGTGGTACCCCTTACGTTTTTTTTTTTGGGCGAAAAATTAAGTTTCTCCAATCTTCCCAAAACTCTGGATTCTGATAGAGGGCCATGAGACTTAGACCTGAGTGCAAAAATGGAGGCTCTAGCCCCTTCCAGAGCTGAGATATCGAAACTCAAAAATTCGGCCCGAAAAAAAAACGACAGTGGTACCCCTTACGTTTTTTTTTTTGGGCGAAAAATTAAGTTTCTCCAATCTTCCCAAAACTCTGGATTCTGATAGAGGGCCATGAGACTTAGACCTGAGTGCAAAAATGGAGGCTCTAGCCCCTTCCAGAGCTGAGATATCGAAACTCAAAAATTTGGCCCGAAAAAAAAAACGACAGTGGTACCCCTTACGTTTTTTTTTTTTTTGGGCGAAAAATTAAGTTTCTCCAATCTTCCCAAACTCTGGATTCTGATAGAGGGCCATGAGACTTAGACCTGAGTGCAAAAATGGAGGCTCTAGCCCCTTCCAGAGCTGAGATATCGAAACTCAAAAATTCGGCCAAAAAAGTACCCCTTACGTTTTTTTTTTTTGGGCGAAAAATTAAGTTTCTCCAATCTTCCCAAAACTCTGGATTCTGATAGAGGGCCATGAGACTTAGACCTGAGTGCAAAAATGGAGGCTCTAGCCCCTTCCAGAGCTGAGATATCGAAACTCAAAAATTCGGCCCGAAAAAAAAACGACAGTGGTACCCCTTACGTTTTTTTTTTTGGGCGAAAAATTAAGTTTCTCCAATCTTCCCAAAACTCTGGATTCTGATAGAGGGCCATGAGACTTAGACCTGAGTGCAAAAATGGAGGCTCTAGCCCCTTCCAGAGCTGAAATATCGAAACTCAAAAATTCGGCCCAGAAAAAAAACGACAGTGGTACCTCTTACGTTTTTTTTTTTTGGGCGAAAAATTAAGTTTCTCCAATCTTCCCAAAACTCTGGATTCTGATAGAGGGCCATGAGACTTAGACCTGAGTGCAAAAATGGAGGCTCTAGCCCCTTCCAGAGCTGAGATATCGAAACTCAAAAATTCGGCCCGAAAAAAAAAACGACAGTGGTACCCCTTACGTTTTTTTTTTTGGGCGAAAAATTAAGTTTCTCCAATCTTTCCAAAACTCTGGATTCTGATAGAGGGCCATGAGACTTAGACCTGAGTGCAAAAATGGAGGCTCTAGCCCCTTCCAGAGCTGAGATATCGAAACTCAAAAATTCGGCCCGAAAAAAAAAAAAGACAGTGGTACCCCTTACGTTTTTTTTTTTTTTTTGGGCGAAAAATTAAGTTTCTCCAATCTTCCCAAAACTCTGGATTCTGATAGAGGGCCATGAGACTTAGACCTGAGTGCAAAAATGGAGGCTCTAGCCCCTTCCAGAGCTGAGATATCGAAACTCAAAAATTCGGCCCGAAAAAAAAAACGACAGTGGTACCCCTTACGTTTTTTTTTTTTTGGGCGAAAAATTAAGTTTCTCCAATCTTCCCAAAACTCTGGATTCTGATAGAGGGCCATGAGACTTAGACCTGAGTGCAAAAATGGAGGCTCTAGCCCCTTCCAGAGCTGAGATATCGAAACTCAAAAATTCGGCCCGAGAAAAAAAAACGACAGTGGTACCCCTTACGTTTTTTTTTTTTTGGGCGAAAAATTAAGTTTCTCCAATCTTCCCAAAACTCTGGATTCTGATAGAGGGCCATGAGACTTAGACCTGAGTGCAAAAATGGAGGCTCTAGCCCCTTCCAGAGCTGAGATATCGAAACTCAAAAATTCGGCCAGAAAAAAAAACGACAGTGGTACCCCTTACGTTTTTTTTTTTGGGCGAAAAATTAAGTTTCTCCAATCTTCCCAAAACTCTGGATTCTGAGAGAGGGCCATGAGACTTAGACCTGAGTGCAAAAATGGAGGCTCTAGCCCCTTCCATAGCTGAGATATCGAAACTCAAAAATTGGCCCGAAAAAAAAAAAACGACAGTGGTACCCCTTACGGTTTTTTTTTTTTGGGCGAAAAATTAAGTTTCTCCAATCTTCCCAAACTCTGGATTCTGATAGAGGACCATGAGACTTAGACCTGAGTGCAAAAATGGAGGCTCTAGCCCCTTCCAGAGCTGAGATATCGAAACTCAAAAATTCGGCCCGAAAAAAAAACGACAGTGGTACCCCTTACATTTTTTTTTTGGGGTGAAAAATTAAGTTTCTCCAATTTTCCCAAAACTCTGGATTCTGAGAGAGGGCCATGAGACTTAGACCTGAGTGCAAAAATGGAGGCTCTAGCCCCTTCCATAGCTGAGATATCGAAACTCAAAAATTTGGCCCGAAAAAAAAAACGACAGTGGTACCCCTTACGTTTTTTTTTTTTTTGGGGCCAAAAATTAAGTTTCTCCAATCTTCCCAAAACTCTGGATTCTGATAGAGGGCCATGAGACTTAGACCTGAGTGCAAAAATGGAGGCTCTAGCCCCTTCCAGAGCTGAGATATCGAAACTCAAAAATTCGGCCCAAAAAAAACATGACAGTGGTACCCCTTATATCCAGAAGTCACACCTCTTATGCAAATGAATTCACAAACAAAGGCACTTGCTATGATAAACATATGGAAAAAGATTCTCAGATTTTCACTTCTGTTTTAGCTTCTACTCCAGCTCACTCTTGAAAGTCACCTTTGTGTTTATTGTTGGGTCTTATGACAAATAGCTTAGGATGTTCATAATTTTAAAGTTGCTTTGGATAATAACATCTGCACATTTTTGACATTTTTTTATTCAGTCACATTATGTTGTGTCACCATGCATGCATGTGCTCTGACCTTGACAGGTCTATGAAGCTCCTTTCTAGTGAATCGCATAACAATGAGCACAAGGCATGTGAGCCCATAGAAAGCCCACTGAGCAAAACTGAAGTAGTTGATGAGAGTGTTTATGTCTGCTGGAATGATGTAGATGATTGACAGCATGCCCTGCAAAATCACAAACAACAAATACTTTATCACAAATCAAATATAATGTTCATGTGTTTAGAACAGTTGTCATGGTTGATGTAATAAGGCAAAAATAGTGATAAGCCTTGTCCAAAAAGTGTTAAGGATGGAATTGAGACTTACATTAAACATGAGAGCTGGAGAAGGCGTGAAACGTTTCACACTGATGTACGACAAGATCCTAAGCATGTGACCCTCCCGTCCTGCCACATACGCCAACCTAACAGGCACAAACAGACAGGCCCCCCAAAAAAAGCGATTTTCAGCATGCACTTAATTCTGTGTGCAAATTTCTATAAAACAACTGAAGTTCCTAACCTTCCTGCAGTGAAACAGCCTCCATTTGCTGCTCCAAAAGTGGAAAAAACCACAAACAGAGGCACAACCCATGATAATGGGTAGAGCACTCTGTCACCAAAGGTCTGTGTAGAAACCAATGATTAAAATACAACTCAAAGATCATTGCAAATTCATTTATTAACTGACTGGGTTGAAGATTTTAGAACTAGGAAAAATACTTATTTTCTATAGAAATAGAGAAGTGGAAATAACAGATTTAAAATTCCCTGATATTTCCAGGTTTTCCATGGTAGTGGGAACTATGACTACAATACACACTCACCACAGCAACAGCAGAAGACTGTAGAAGTTCAACAGGGGTCATGACAGTGAAATATGCTATGTTGACAAATATATAGCACACAGTAACCAGGGGAATCCCAATTACAATAGCCAGGGGAAGGTTTCTGTAAAAAATAATAATCATAATCATAAACAAACCTATCTATAAAATGAGTAAATAAAAACACAAAAAACAAGACATGTTTAATAATACAATAACACCTTCATGATAATAATACTATATATATACTATATATATATATATATATATATATACACACACTGTATATAGTAAACTGTACTGTGCAAAAGTCTTAGGCACATTAGTATTTTCACCCCAAACAAGTTTTAAGACAGTTATTTTTATATTTTTCTGTAGTGTGCAAGTAGGATATATCAGTTTACATTTGGAAACATTTCTTTCAAACACTGCAGTTCTTCTGAATTTAGTCTCAGTTTTTTTTCTGTTTCTTCATGTACCAGACGCATATGAACGCACATTTGTGTCTGAATATATTAACATGCCTAATAATTTTTGTACAGTACTATATATATATATATATATATATATATATATATGTACAGTGGGTACTCCCTTAAATTTTTCACACTTTGTTATTTTTCAGCCATTTGCTGAAATCATTTAAGTTTGTTTTTTTCCCTCATTATTGTACACACAGCATCCCACATTGACAGAAAAACACAGAATTGTTGACATTTTTGCACATTTATTAAAAAATAAAAACTGAAATATCACATGGTCCTAAATATTCAGACCCTTTGCTGTGACACTCATATATTTAACTCAGGTGCTGTCTATTTCTTCTGATCATCCTTGAGATGGTTCTACACCTTTATTTGAGTCCAGTTGTGTTTTATTATAGACCATTTCACAAGATGTAAACAGCACTGGTCCAGAAACACTTCCTGTTTCAGTTTGTAACAGTTTCAGTTTTCTTTATTTGACATGTAAAGAAAACATCTTAAAGATGTTTGTTTAACTTTTTGATTCAGTTTTAAATGTTCTGTTGGTTGTATTTTATCCCAGCTTATATGTAGTGTTAAAAAACTGAAACAGGAAGTGCTTCTGGACCAGTGTTGTTTACATCTTGTGAAATGGTCTATGCTGATTGGACTTGATTAGGAAAGCCACACACCTGTCTATGTAAGACCTTACAGCTCACAGTACATGTCAGGGCAAATGAGAATCATGAGGTCAAAGGAACTGCCTGAAAAGCTCAGAGATAGAATTGTGGTAAGGCACAGATCTGGCCAAGGTTACAAAAAAAATTCTGCTGCACTTAAGGTTCCTAAGAGTACAGTGGCCTCCATAATCCTTAAATGGAAGACGTTTGGGACGACCAGAACCCTTCCTAGAGCTGGCCGTCCAGCCAAACTGAGCTATCAGGGGAGAAGAGCCTGAGCTCCAGATATGCAGTCGGGAGATGGGAGAAAGTTGTAGTAAGTCGACCATCACTGCAGCAATCCACCAGTCAGGGGCTTTATGGCAAAGTGGCCCGACGGAAGCCTCTCCTCATTTAAAGTTTGCTAAAAAAAACAACAACCTGGAGGACTCCAAGATGGTGATAAATCAGATCCTCTGGTCTGATGAGACCAAGATAGAACTTTTGGGCCTTAATTCTAAGCGGTATGTGTGGAGAAAACCAGGCACTGCTCATCACCTGTCCAATACAGTCCCAACAGTGAAGCATGGTGGTGGCAGCATCATGCTGTGTGGGTGTTTTTCAGCTGCAGGGACAGGAAGACTGGTTGCAATCGAGTGAAAGATGAATGCGGCCAAGTACAGGGATATCCTGGATGAAAACCTTTTCCAGAGTGCTCTGGACCTCAGACTGGGCCGAAGGTTCACCTTCCAACATGACAATGAGCCTAAGCACACCGCTAAAATAACGAAGGAGTGGCTTCACAACAACTCCGTGGCTGTTCTTGAATGGCCCAGCCAGAGCCCTGACTTAAACCCAATTGAGCATCTCTGGAAAGACCTGAAAATGGCTGTCCACCAACGTTTACCATCCAACCTGACAGAACTGGAGAGGATCTGCAAGGAGGAATGGCAGAGGATACCCAAATCCAGATGTGAAAAACTTGCATCTTTCCCAAAAAGACTCATGGCTGTATTAGATCAAAAGGATGCTTCTACTAAATACTGAGCAAAGGGTCTGAATACTTAGGACCATGTGATATTTCAGTTTTTCTTTTTTAATAAATGTGCAAAAATGTCAACAATTCTGATTTTTTCTGTCAATGTGGGATGCTGTGTGTACAATAATGAGGGAAAAAAATAAACTTGAAATGACTTTAGCAAATGGCTGCAAAATAACAAAGAGTGAACAATTTAAGGGGGTCTGAATACTTTCTGTACTCACTGTGTATATATATATATATATATATATATATATATATATATATATATATTTAAAAAAAACGTTTTCAATAACACAATAAGATTGCAGATATACTGCATTGTCATTTTGCAGATAATATTGCAGCTAACAATACTGTAATATTACAGATTGCACATGGTTTATAAAAACAGAATTGGAATTTTAATTTAGAACATTTTAGTCTCACTTGTATGGATTTTTCAGCTCTTCTGTTATGAAGTTAAGCTGATTCCTATGAAAAAAAAAAAGAAAAGCAAACTTTGACATGAATTGCCATAGCTGATTTCTGGTCTTGCACGCTTCTCTCAGAATGAAAAAGCCACGGATAAAGAATGATCTGGTGAAAGTCCATGCAACTAAAACCAAGTCCTGCTGGATTTAAGGTTTGATAAGCATTCACTTTCCCTTTTCATTATTTAATGATACTTCCCTTTATCATTAGACGGTGTGAATGGCACACTAGAACGTTGATTCTTTGAATCTAGCTTATTAAAAGTCTTAAAAAGGTGTACACTGCTGATTAACATTAGCATCATATGCCACATGTGCAACATTATATGAGCTCCTCATTACTTTACCATCCGTCATAAGCCCAGAGACCATTGTAAAATGCAAGGCCAATTGCTCCAAATGATGTTGTTCCCCCTGCAAATGGGTCTCTAAGATTCTGTGTGTTGCCTAAAAAACAATTACAACACAATAAAAAGACACATTTTATTGATCTTTCATTGAACATTTACAGAGGTCTACTTATCTAAACACAAATGTACACAAATCCCTGGGCATAGTCTACAATGAGTCATCTTTCACAACATAATCAAAAAATATAATTTCTTTATCTGTTATCAAAATGTTTTTGAACTCAGTCCCTTCAATTAAATAATAAGATGCTGATGTCCTTTTCAATGTCACATAAGCCAGTCAATAAAAACTGATATCATATAAGATAGGAGTCACAAAAACAGATCTGGCAGATCTGAGATATGCGGTCGGATAAAAGCAGGTTTGATTGTTCTCGGGGTATAGAGAGGTACCTTGAGCCAACAGAACGATGCCTGAAACCACGATAACGACAATAATCAAGAGTTTGGCTGCTGTGAAAAAGTTCTGCACTCTGGAGGCCAGCTTCACACTCAGACAGTTGATGAGTGTAATTATTACTGACGAGAGAACAAAGAGAGGGTTAGACCAAAATAATGTCATTGGAATATAAACGGGGCCTAGACTTGTACATACAGATACAAGCTGCAGCCAGGCATTTGGTAACCACTTGAGGAGGAGTGCATCCTGGGTAAAATGGAGTGGAGGCGTACTCGGCACAACTCAGGGCAATGATGGCAAATGACGAAGGCTTTAACACGATGACGGTGGTCCAGGAATATAGGTATGCCGGGACTGGCCCAAAGCCCTCCATCAGGTATGGATACTCACCACCAGACTTCACGATCATTGTGCCAAGCTCGGCATAGCAGAGGGCCCCTGCACACACATGCACATGGTTCAGTTTCTCAGTGTTCAAGTTGAGGTCAATGAGTCCATTACTAAAAAGGTCTTCTGCAGGCAGAATCAGTATTAAACTAAAGAGGATTTCTGTGTCTTGGGAATTTTCCTGAACAGTATGTGACTTAAAAAGACTGACTGAGAGTTTCTGAGTGAGTGAACATATCTGATTAACCTCCTTGACTTTGCCCAACTATAATCTCAGCAGAAAGTGCTGGATAAAATAGATTTAGTTTAGAATTACATATTTGTAACACAGAATGCGGTAAGACAACAGCTGCGACCAATGGAGCAAATTAAAAGAGTAACATTTTACAACATAAATTTTTAACATTTAGCTAATTTGTCAGAAATTACTTTTACTATGCATTTACAGTATGTAGTATGAACAAAAATTAAGTAATATGCAAATTAACATTATATAACCTTGATTCTTACAAAACACTGTTCTTTGTTAGTTTATACTACTTAATGCATTAACAAACTGAGCCTTATCATTAAGTGTTTAATAATTAATAAACAAATTAATAAAGCAGCAACCTTTAGACTTTTAAATTATGTTATACACTATAAAAAAGCTTGTATTTTGCATACATGGTATATGGCGAGATTATCAAACAGCAAAAACAAATATGACATGATAGATGAGGTGATTATACGTAATGACACGATACATGAGGTGATCATGTGTAATCTCGCCCAATAATCTTTGTTATAAGGGGTAATTCAAAGCTTTTGTGCAACCTCATAGATGATGTCTTTTTTTGTGTGGATACTGACCCAGTGTAGCCAGTAATCCGCACGCCGCCCACACACACAGACACGGACCCACAGCTCCAGTTCCCTCCAGCACCGGTTTGGGAGAAATGAAGATCCCGGAGCCGATCATTGTTCCCACTATCAGACAGATGCCACTTACAAGACCCACCTGAGGCGTTCAGACAGGCGTACGGTTAAATGGTTAGGGATTGTTTTAACTGATAATGCAATTAAGCTAAAGTGATAATAAAATTTGATTTGATAGCACAGGGGATATCAGCTGATTTTAGAGATTTATTACTTTATCTGATCTGCTGGACACGATTGTTTATGCTCATAGACATTTTACCAATAAATGTACAATGATCTAAATGATATCACTCCACTTTAGATTTCGCTTTATATTGCCTGATTGTTTTCTCTGAATATAAGGTCATGAAGAACAAGGGTTGCAATAACTACTTAAAGCAATTCATATTAACAGACCTTCCATGTCCTTATGTATGCAGTTTTACATATAAATAATCAAACGTGTCATTAATGAGAGCTACAAAAGAATGCTCGGACAGGTGCCAGGACAGGAAGAGATTACACTGTAGTGATGGTGACAGGCACTGCCAGGTTAACCCACAGTTCACACACTTACTCACGCATCGCATCGACTCGACTCTGGGTGGAAACCATTGATCATTGAACATTCTTCACATTCTTTAGTGTAATGTGCCTCATTCATTCTCTCATACTCACATCTTGACGCAGAACTGCTGCTTTTGGCTGCTCGTGCTTTTTAGTTTTCAAAGCCTCTGGAACGCTCCCATTGTGAGTGTCCACTTTTTTTAGATCCTCATCCATCCTTCACAGGGTCAACAGTTCAGTTTTAACTTTGTGGAGTCAGCCTGAATAAATACATACAAAAACTATTATATACTCTTTCTTATAAACATAAATTACGGTGATCAATTTAAAATAATAATAATTAAGGGCCCCAAAAGTAACCAAAAGTTAGCAGAATAATAATAATACGTAAGAAGAAGAAGAAGAAGAAGAAGAAGAAGAAGAAAAAGAAATAATCCTGAGGAAAACTTCGCCCTTTCAGGGCTTGGGCCCTAATAATGTTAACTAATAAATAAAAATAACAAAAATTACGAAGCCTGAACTAAAAGACAGATAGAACTCTAGGAAGTCTGAATCTAGGCAATATAGCACTTTCATTCCATACATTATTTATTTATGATAAGTTTATGATTAAACTTCTCTTAAAGGTCATTTATTTATGCATTAGATAGTCAAATATATTTTGTGCAAATAAAGTCATCAAAAGACCTTTGCCCATTTTACAGCATTTGCTTTCTCATTCTACACAGATAAGGAAATATTGCATTCTCATCTACACTTAAGACAGTCAGGCTGATGTCCACAAGCAGCTACTGATACTAAATCTACTGAAAAGTACCATCAAAAGTCAAAAAGACCATCCATGCTGCCATTATCTTGATGGTCCAGGGGGAAAAAGGGTTCAGTTTTGTACAAATAAGTTCCTAACTGTCACAGCACTCTTATCCATCAAAAAGCAACATTTACCAGACAGCTAAAAATAATTATTATGTGACAATTACCTGGTGAAAGACTTGCATGGCAGTCAGGTGACACCAGGTAAATAGGCAGCCACTGCTCACATCCTTCTAAAGACCTCTGCCAGGCAAAGCGATGGAGATCTCCGAGAGCTGGGAAATAGCACATGCGTCCAAGGTCGTAGTAGCCTACTGAGGTGGAGCTATCCAGATTTCCTTTGATTTGTAGCTGCGCAGCACTTCTGAGGGAGTGGACCACTGAGATACAAGGCAGTTGTGTTATTTCCCAACAGACAAGAGTAGTTCTTCTCATCTGGGCGAGACCGAATTACCTAATATGCCCTGGTTTATGAATATTAATTATGTTCCGTGACGTTTTGGACAGTTGCTAAATGGCGTAAAGTGGGCGCAGCATGTCAATGATATTAACTGGAAAAAAGTATGGACAATTCCCAATAAGTTTTTTATTACTAACAAAGTCAAGGAAATTTCTTTCAAAATTACCCATAAGTACTACCCTGCTAACCACTATATGACGAAATTCAAAAGGGACATTGATGTGAACTGTTCTTTTTGCGGAAATCACCCTGAGACCACCCAGCACCTTTTTTGGATCTGCACACACTCCACAACCTTCTGGAAGGACTTCTGCAGCTTTATTATGAAAGAACTTTACAAGGACTTTACATTGAAGTGGGAAAATGTTGTGTTTTGTTTTTTTAGAAAACAAAGTAAAGAAGATATGTTTTTTATTATAAATTTACTAATTGTGCAAGCTAAATTCTATATCCACAAATGCAAATATATAAAACAAAAACCGGCATTTAAACATTTTTATTGTGATATGTTATCATATATAAAATTAATTAGTGGTTCTTTGAACAAAAAGGCTATGAAAACGAGAAATATTTGTATTACTTACAATTTGTTTGAATGTATGTGATACCCCCTGGCAAGGGTAATATTAATGTTGTATGCTTTGTATACTTTGTATACTGTTGTTTTCATTTGCAATAATAAAAAAAAAAAAAAAAATTAAAAAAAAAAAAAAAAAAAGTGGGCGCAGCATTGCTGGCGAATGAACGCTTAACTTATAAATTATTGATCAGGCCATGGGTGGACGCTGCAGAAAATACATTAATATTAACGAGCAAATTGGTCTTTTCAACTAATTGGTCACGAATGCATGAACTGATGAAATACACGCTCAGCGATTGAGTGTCTGCCAAATACAATTTTAAAATGCATTAAGGTATCTCTACCATTCTACCATACCAACTTACGATTCAAAACCATAGACAGTAAAAGAAATGGACACAGCGACCCCGTTGATTTCAACGGAGAGAGTTGAAGCCTATGGTTGAAGCTCAACATGAGAACTCACTTCCTGATAGCCAAGCGTTCTGCGCAGGCTCAAACTGAGCTTGACGACATAGCTCGCTCAAACTGAGCTTGACTCACGAGCAAACTGTCTGACAGTTGTAAATCTTTGAGTAGCTAGCTGCTGTGCCAAGACACATTTTAATCGTGCACAGAGACGGCGAAGCGCAACCTGGAGCAACTTTTGGTAAGTATTCTGATTAATTATTTTGTCATTTTGCTTCTATTTATGCCATGGGGTGACTTTAGACAGTAAAAGTTTGCCTGCGAGCCTGTCGGTAACTTCTCTACGGTGCGACGGACAGTCGAGTGTTTATGACGCAATTTTTAGCCTATTTTTACAAGAACGGCTTCTACGTGGCCATAACGTAACATACAAAGTAATGGAGCCTTTTATACATTGTCGTGTTTCTTTAGAAATAAAAAATCGATAAATACTAGAGTCTTTTGGACGCCTCAGATGTAAAGTTATTCACTGTCAAAGTGACGCCAAAATGAATGGGAGTCAATGGGATGCTAACAGCAGGTAACCTGCTACAATGGCGGCCCCCGGAGGCAGCTTCAACTTCCGGCTGATGGATTACCCCCTTGTTCAAAACGCACCTTAAAATGAACGATTTCCTTCTGGTCGTGAAGCATGTAGTGCTATGGAATCTCGTGTAGGCAGCAGATGTAAAGTGCAGTGTCGTACCACCTCTGTTTGCCGTAAACGCCTATGGGTGTCAACCAGTTCCCCCATTCATGCAAAGCCCAGATGTTGGGGGCAGACACTGCAACTCCTTAGCCCGGATGCCAGCCCGAACTCCGCCCACAACATTTTTTTGGTCGGGAAGTTCGGTCTGGACTCGATCCATTGAGGAGAAATTATGATCAGTCAAAAAATGAACGGGCCAATCAGATTGCCAGGGCGGGCTTTATACGATGATGGACAGATGATCTGCAAGGACGTAATCATCACGTTATCAAAGAGCGCTTAACTGGTTTCCCTGACTGCAGCTGGAGAATTGAGATGTATATGCTGTCACGTCTGTTGTAAAATAAATCGACAGCGCATTCATTTCAATAGACGAACAGAAAACTGCAATCAAGACATTTGTCGATAGGAAAGATATTTTGCCGTCCTTGTTACATGATTCGGCAAAAGTGTAACTTATCAGCTGGCTCTGATGGTCGCTAAGAAGATGGGACGTAATGAAAAGCCTGTGGTCGTTGTGGTTTCTCCTTTGGTCGCACTCATGGAGGAGTAAGTAAAAGAAGCAACACTCGTTATTTAACTTTAAAATAAGTAAGTTCTATAGTTGAAAACTGCGCTATGCAAAGGAGTTGACTTACTGCGTTGCTCTGATTGTAGGTTTACCGACTATCCAATTGAGTGCAAAGGTTGTTTTTTTTCCTGGTTCGGTTAAGACCACCTCATAATCAAAGCCCTTCAGAGGAGTTTCAGACTAGCAACTGATGAAGCCTGATGAAGTCAGGCTAGCAACTCCCGACACATCTTGATAAAATTCGCCGGGTTATCAATAACCTGAGATCTCCACTTAGACAGCACGTCTTTACTCCACAGTCCGGTCAATCTGGTCAGTGTTGGCTGGCTGTCACTGTTATCATCCGTGTGCACGCGAATCCCGCTTTCCTCGTGTTTGGGAACCCGCCAGGAGCACACCTGACTCCTCAAACGTCTCTTCACCGCACAGATCCTGAAAGCCACATCTCCCGGTATCGGAGATCCCAGCTGAGATCTGTCAGTGGCGAAAATGGGTGGCCTGCTCGCCGGCGGCTGCTTCACAACTCCGATGCCGTAGTTGGGCGCTTCGGTAAAGGCTTTAAAGATCTCCTGCCACTCGCTGGAGAAGTCAGACGATTCCACCAGCCCCCCGGGAAACACGTAGGCATTGGGCATATACCCGCTGCGACCGCTCCGTTTCAGCAGCAGCACTTGATAGTCGAAGGCAGATTTGTGTGCAATATCAGTGACTTTTCCTAGACCTGCTTTAAGAGAGTCCGCAGTCGGAGTGCGTCTCAGCCCGGCCGCCAGGATCACCGTCGCCGCCTCTCTCCAGTGTTTCAGCGCCGTGTTCATCTTGCTCACTGCTTACATGATCACAGCTATAACGTACTTATCCGGAAACTTTCGACATCGGTCAACAATGGCGTAAAGGACAGGACAGCGCAGAAAAAATAATAATCTATTTAATCTGTGATTGAGTGCCATCTACAGCAAGGGAAGAAATCTTGCTTTTCCTTGCCACATTCAAATCAGGACATTTCTATTATACTTCAGGCACAGGTATAATCGATTTATGATTGCTACCAAGTCCAACAATACCTATAAAATCCATGTTAAGCCAATCCCGATAAGCGCTGAAAAAAATAACACTCTAAACGATTCTGGGTTTGTTTAACCCAAAATTTGGGTCAAGCCCAAATGTTGGGTTAAAAATGTAATTAAAAAAAACAGTTTGAAAGTGAAAGTTGAAGTTGGGTTCAAATTTTTAAATTATATTTTTAACCCAACATTTGGGTTTGTCCATATTTTGACCAAATTTGGGTTGAAACAACACAGCATTTTTTAGAGTGCAGTTACCAGTTTATCAATTAACATGTCTGGCAGGTAAAAATGATTGCAGAGTAATGTAAAACTTTAATAGACACTGAATTGAAAACAAACCGTGAACAGTTAAAATATATGTGCTTATATTAAATAGGCCAAAACAAACAAACATCTTCATAGCTTACAGTAGGTCTGTCTTTAAAAGTTATAGTTAAAAATCAATTTACCTGTGGAGGAAACGAATGGGATTTTTACTAGAATCCCATTGTTGTATTATTTTTTCTAGTAACAACAATTATAATATTGGCTACTTAAAGACTTAAATTACTACAATTCTTCTAATGTGATTAAATGAGTCTGAGTCAATATATTAACACAATTAATACATTTGAGTTCAGTAAAGGTGGAAAATATCATTGTTATCCTGTACAACAAACTTGCATTTTAATTATAAAATAAGTTAGATAAACTGGAAGTTGTCATAATGTACAGACGTTCATGGAAAAGATACGTTATTCTTTGAAGTAAAAACAAATCCATGTGCCCTGGGAAAGGCCTGCAGTCCATTAAACAATAGATGGTCTTACATTGGAAACTGTTGGTCTGGTCTCATATTGGAAAAAAAACAGCTGTGTTCCCTTTAAGGATCCTTTATCCACATTTCCACGGATCAATCTGTTGTCCATTGCAGGCTGTTATGTCTGTCTTTTCTCAAGTTTGACATCTTTCACTCAATCTTTTCGGATGGAACGACTTGCAGTAGCAGCTGGAGGTGCATAGTGAGTGGCCCTGTGAGCATCAACAGGTCAAGTTTAAGAAATAAGCATTTCAATGTTTCTGGTGAACATCCACTAAAAACAGCCTTAAAAGTGAAATATTATTCAGAAAACATAACTATTGTTAATTTCAAGACATGGTAAAGACAAGCATACATTTTGTGCACTGTTATATATTCAAATGTGCAATTAATTTCCAGCTTCTTACTCATGATGTGGCGAGTCCAGTTGAATTTGTAGTAAATAAGGGGTACATA